CCTTTCTCAAGCAGGAAACCCTATACCGTTCCAGACAAATGTCTATCCAACATCTTCTTTAAAACTTCTAGTGTTGGAGCATTCACAGCTTCTGGAGGCAAGTTGTTTCACTGATTAATTGTTCTAACTGTCAGGATATGTCTCCTCAGTTCTGAGTTGCTTCTCTCCTTGATTAGTTTCCACCCATTGCTTCTTGTCCTGCCCTCAGGTGCCTTGGAGAATAGTTTGACTCCCTCTTCTTTGGGGCATCCCCTGAGATATTGGAAGACTGCTATCATGTCTCCCCTGGTCCTTCTTTCTATTAAACTAGACACATACCCAGTTCCTGCAACCATTCCTCATATGTTTTAGTCTCATTAATGTTCAAGCTTTAACTGTCAATTTATCAAGCCCGATCACATAGTTCCATAGCGAAGTATGGGTATCCAACAGACTAATATAACATAAAATACCAATAAGGGAAAGTAATAGGAAGTTGTGGCTGGCTCAGGAATTCTGGGAGTTGAAGTCCACAGGGACTAAAGGGGCCATAACTGCCCAACCCTGAATCTATCTACCATAACAGAATCTTGAAAAATGATGGGCATTTTAACTTGCCTCCTCCTTCTGCCAAAGAGAATCTAATACCTCCCTTCCTTCCTGGGTTTAATTCAGATTTCGCTAGCTGCTATATTCCTTCCCCCAATGGTCCTCGACACTCAAGCACAGAAACTCTCTCCTTATTATCACCCTCTCAACCCAACCTCCTTCAGAAGGCTGTGGTTGTGTGAAAAAGGAAGTAGGAACAACGTCAACTTCCTGGAGGCAGGATAAAGATAATAATATAAATCAAATAAACGGGACAGTTCCTAACGCTAATCCTGAAGAGAACTGCCAGGTTGATTGATATTTGATTTATATTTCATATTTCCTAATTGCTCATTTTCCGTCGGTTCTTTTTCTCTACATTCTTATGGGAAAAATTCTTGCCTGCAATCAATATTTGACTTTCATCAATTGTTTGCCTTCCCTAGAAAGCTACTTGTATATTTCTAAAATAAACAGATTTTCTACTACCAACAAGGCTTTGGGCCGAGGTGGCACAGTGGTTAGGGTGCAGTACTGCAGGCCACTTCAGCTGACTGTTATCTGCAGTTCAGCAGTTCANGGTTAGAAGGAAGAAAGGGGGAGGGAGAGAAGGAAGAAAAATGAAGAAAAAGAAAGAGGAAAGGGGGAGGGGGAGGAAAAGAAAGAAAGAAAGGAAGGAAGGGGGGTTAGAAGGAAGGAAGAGAGGAGGGAGGTAGGGAAGGAAGGAAGGAAGGAAAAAATAAGAAAAAGAAAGAGGAAAGGAAGGGGAGGGGGAGGAAAAGAAAGAAAGAAATAGGGGTTAGAAGGAAGAAAGCGGGAGGGAGGGAAAAAATAAAGAGGAAAGGTACTCAACTTCACAAATGTCTCCCTTAGTGGTTGTAAGTTGGAGACTTCCTGTAAAAGGGAAAGATTCTCCTCGCACATATGTGCCAGTCGTTCCTGACTCTAGGGGGCAGTGCTCATCTCCGTTTCAAAGCCGAAGAGCCAGTGCTGTCCAAAGAAGTCTCCGTGGTCATGTGGCTGGCATGACTCAATGCCGAAGGCGCACGGAACGCTCTTCCCTTCCCACCAAAGGTGGTGCCTATTTTTCTACTTGCATTTTTTACTTGCTTTCGAACTGCTAGGTTGGCAGAAGCTGGGACAAGTCACGGGAGCTCACTCCGATACACGGCGCTCGGGGTTCGAACCGCCGACTTTTCTGATTGACGAGCTCAGCGCCTGAGTCACGGAGTGCCAATCACATTAGTTGTCTCTTTATCGGCCCCAAACACGGGATGGCTTCCGTGACAACAAACCATGGTCCTGAGACTCAACTAACCTGGATAGTCTTGAATTCCCCACTTCGTCCTGCGCATCCGGAACTGTCGTGGGCCGTTCTGCGGGAGGCCACGCTTCATCTTGGGAGCGTTGTGCTTCCTCTCTTCTCTCTTGTTCAACTTAATTATGTCGTCTGCGAAAAGACAATTCGGTTTGGCGATGAAGACGGGGGCAGCCCACACAGGTAGTCCTCAACTTACAATGGTTCGCTTAGTGACCACTCAAAGTTACAACCGCACTGAAAAAAAGGGGCACTGGGACCGTTTCTCCGACCGCTGCCGCACCCCCAGGGGCAGCCCACGCAAAGCACCCATACAGGTAGTCCTCAACATACGACGTTTCTCCGACCGCTGCAGCATCTGTGATCAAAATTCAAGTGCTTGACAACTGGTTCGCATTTATGACGGTTGGGGTCCCCGGAGGTCACACGGGATCCCCGTTTGCGACCACCTGACAAGGAGAATTCACGGGGAAGACGGATTTCACTTCGCAACCGTGGGACTAATTTAACAACTGCGGTGATTCACTTAGCAAAGGTGGCCAGAAAAGTCGTAAAGTGGGGCAAAATCCACTTCACAAATTTCTCACTTAGCGACGTAAATTTGGGGCTCAATAGTGGCCGTAGGTTGAGGACTACCTGCAATCCTCCCACCCAGTGCAAGAAATCCTGCTATTTTTTATTCAGTTCCCAGAAAGGGTAAATCGAGATCCCGAATGGATCATTTAAATCAGGGATGGGGAAAGGATGGCCCCCTTATGTCTTGTGGACTTCAACTCCCAGAATTCCTCCACCAACCATGATAGACTTCAACTCCCAGAATTCCTCCACCAACCATGATAGACTTCAACTCCCAGAATTCCTCAACTAGCCATGTTGGCTCAGGAAT